ATTATCGCAGGTGTAGTAAAGACTACCCCCTCTCAGTGACTCCCAGTGTTATGTAACATACATCTTCCCCACATCTAACGTTTAACAGATACTGCAAGAGAATATATCAAGTATACACAGATTAATAAGCTCCCAATACATAAGTATATACCTATGAACTGCACTTTGAGACTTAAGTCACGAAAGCCTGTCTGTCTAACAACAAAAGACATAAGTTACCATAAGCTTGGCTAAATACATAATATCTTTTTTATTATTGTTATTTATTTTAACCTCTATATATTCTACTTCAAGTTTATTTGTTTATAATTTTATAATTTTATTGAGTTGTAATGCTTGTTAAGAATACCATACGATAATAATAATAAAAACTATAATTATATATTATATCAAATTTATGTCAAATTACAATGAACTAATTATACTTTAAATGTACTAAAATAATATTTCCCAAAAAAATACAGAGGATAAAAACGTATTCTTTAGTACAATATCTTAATATTTTCATGTCTTATTTTATGACTACAAAAAAATAAAAAACGAATGTATATCCAAAAATATATTTAATAATAACGTTAAAATATTATTAAACATAATAGGTATCCAAAAAAAATTTTACAATGAAGAAAAATGATGCAAGAAATTCGGACGTCGCGTCCTGGAGTAACAAGAGTCAGAAAATAAAAAGTTCATAATTCTATCAAATATAAACGGATAACAACGAAATTTTCAGAGTACTGTAATAAATAAAAAGAAAGAAAAGGAAAGGGGTAAGTATGATAGGAATAAAGAAAACTATGGCAATGGTAGTGGTTTAGTATAAAGAAAGTTAGAGTGTCTATAGGTATTAGGTAGCGACAATAATATAATGAAATAAAAAAGGATCTCGGGGTATGTATGCCTTTTAGGGAGGTCCTAATTTTTCAACATTAATAATGCATTTGTCTCACCCCCACCCTTATATTGTACAATATGATGAGAAAGTAATTTGGGTAAAATTTTATCATGATAAACTACCCCCTTCACGTGCCTGTATAGGGTTAAAAATTGACAAAAAGGGTAGTTTTTTTAGTTTTTTTATTTAATTTCAAACCTGATGCCTGTAGCGTTAAAACGTATACTAACTTAATTATTTTTCATTAGATTTTGATAAAAAATAATATCATCAAATTTTTCGTACGTTCATTACTTTCTGAAAAAAAATTATAAAACTGTAAAAAAAAATTGTCTCCCAAAATAGATTTTTTTATGGTTATTTAAATAAATATATATATAATAAATAAATAAATAATAACAAATTATTAGAGATACGATAAAATGTTTCATATGAAAGTTGTACAAATTTAATTTCTTTAAAAAATAATTTAATTTAAGTCCAGTGGCCATAATGGTAAACAAATTGCCAAATATCTCCAAATAAAATACGACGATACAATGTTATCGAAATTTATTTATACCAATATGCTAGATGTAAAGTGGGAAATTACTTTTATGGCTTATTCTAATTATTACATCATAGTTATAAGTTACATTTCAATTGTATACACTATTTTTTAAATTTTATACTAGTATTTATATATGCTTAATTAAGTTCTTCCATTCTTAAAATGGTTGCAAAACTTAGAATAAATATGTATTTAGTGGGGAATGAATGAAATCAAACAACTAGTGGTTCTGAAACATGAACACTCAAAGTAGAAGATGTAAAGTGCATGAACGCCTTTGAGATGTGGGTCTATAGACGGATGTTAAGAATTTCCTGGATGGAATTTAGGACCAATCAATCAATTCTGACCATGCTTAATGTGGAAACAAGATTATCAGTGATGTGTAAGCAGAGGATCTTAAGGTTCTTTGGCCACATTATAAGAAAGGATGGATCGAGCATGGCGAACCAGATAATCGAACGTAAAATAGAAGGTAAAAGAAGCCGTGGAAGACCACTAAAGTGTTGGATAGATCAGATCAAGACCATCACTGGCTATCCACTGAGAGAGACCATTCGATCGGCAGAAAACCGTGAGCTTTGGAAAGGGATTGTTGCCAACGTTAACTGATGGGTCACCAAACTTCCATTTTTGGAAGATGGGCTTAGAAGAAGGTGGTAAATTGCAATCTAAAATACAAGTATTGTTAGTTTTTTTTATAATTTACGTGTTGTGAAATTAAATATGCGTCAAAGTGTATAAAAAAAAACAATAATTTGTTGGGAAAAAGCAAGAATTCATGAAAGGGACACTCAACATTCTGTAGCCAAATTAGAAATTTTTATCAAAAATTGAGATCAGTTCAAAAAAATCGTATATCTAGAACAAAATGGCAAGTTAGCTTAGAAAATCAGTTTTCAGAAACTTTGGACGATTTATTTGTTATAGCACATGCAGATGCATATAATATAATATTTAATTATTACTCATAACTTTTATTTCTCCTGTTGGTCGGGGTTAGAATAGACCATCGGTTTTTCCTGCCTGTCGTAAAAGGCGACTAAATGGGACTTGTAGTAGGGCAGCAGCTAGTGCAATATTGGGTGAAGGTTCATCAGCTACACGCCAAGCAGCAGCCAACAGATACGGGAAACTGTATAACTGATGGTTGCACTGCGATACGGAAGGCAACGGGAAACCACCGTATTAATATTCCAAGTAACAGCAATCAACATGTCTTCTTCTCAAGTAAAAAATTCCGGAGGTAAAATAGTCCCCCGTTCGGATCTCCGGGTGAGGACTACAAGAGAGGTAAGAAGTGTTAAGGATGTGAAGGAATATAAACGAATAGCAACTTGGAATGTATGGATTTTATTACAATGTGGGAAATCGGAGAATCTGAAAATAGAAATGGACAAGATGAAAATCGATATTCTTGGAATATCAGAAATGATATGGCCAAAGTCAGGAGACTTTTGTAGCGAAGACCATTGAATACTATATCCAGGTGCATCAGAGAAAAAACCTTGCACAGGAGGAGTAGGGATTATAATGAATAAAACCCTAGGAAAAAAAGTTAAAGGCTATATACAATATGACGATAGAATCATTCTAGTCAAGCTCCAGACGAAACCAAAAGATACAATAGGAGTTCAAGTCTATATGCCGATATCAAATAGTAACGATGTATAGGAAGAAGAATTATACGAAAATATAGATAAAATAATCGAAAATGTTAAAGGGGAAGAGAATCTGGTAGTAATGGGTGATTGGGATGCCATTCTAGGGGAAAAAAAAGTAAATAATGTAACAGGTGCCTTTGGGTTGGGAACGCAAAATGTAAGAGGAGAACGCCTATTAGAATTTTGTCAAAGAATAACTTAATAATCACAAACACTTACTTCGATCATTATCGAAGAAGAAGATACACGTGGAAAATGCCAGGAGACATAAATAAAAACCAAATAAATTACATCATGGTGAAGAACAGATAACTGATGGACTTAAGAAGAAGGTGATAAATTGCAATCTAATAGACAATTTAATTATAACGCATAACTTTTATAAATTTTAATATATAGTGTAGTCGATTTAAAATGTTATCAAAAAAAGTCGATCATTTAATTTTAATGGATTTTTACTTTATGAAATACAATGAATTAGACATTAAGTGAAAATTAGAGATATTTATTAAACTTTGCTAGTCGTCTAACGTATTTTAAATATTTTCATAAAAATGTTCCGAAAAACAAAAAATATTCTCTGTTATTAATTTTTTAGTGAAATTTTATATTTAACATGCATAAATTATTAAATGTTTACCACTCTATTAGTTATAGTAATTTTTATTCATTTTTGTGTTGTAATAAAGTAACAGTGGTCCTCATTAAAATTTCGGTGATCAATTATTTTTGATTCAACCTAACCCATATGTTTAAACACATACGTTAAAATAAATATTAAACGCGGGGGATAAACATTTTTATTAAACCACACCATTGAGTAATAATTTTTTTTTAAGAGAGACTTCCAGTTGTTGTGTCTTTTGATGGAACTGAACAGCTCCTTAGAGTTCCAAAACTAAATTCTGGAACTGGTGAACAAATTGCGGCATCTGTCTATCAACTACTTCTTGAGGTGAACCTTACTGAAAATGTGAATGCTCTTTGTTGTGATACCACCGCATCAAATATGGGAATCAATAAAGGAGCTTGTGCTATTTTAGAAAAAAATCTAAATAAAGAACTCCTCTATCTTCCATGTCGTCGTCATATTTATGAAATTATACTACGTTCAATATTTGAATTAAAAATGAAACATCATTTATCGGAAATACAATTATTCAAACGTTTTCAAATTGAGTGAAATAAAATGGAATTAATCGACATTTCTTATGGAATTGAAGACGACGAGGTAAAAATTATATTAAATGATGAAATTAGCAATATAAAAACGTTTTGCTTTTATGAATTAGAACAGAATTATAATAGAGATAGCTATAGAGATTTTTTAAAGCTTGTGCTAGTTTTTGTAAAAAAATTGCTATTTTAAATCTCCCTCCGTGAACAAGTTAAGTGTTAGATTTTCAAAAAAATGATATTTTATGATAACATAATTATAACAAAATAGAAAAGGTGTTTTAAAAAGATGGAATTTAATTTACCCTCTTGAATCTCGTTAAGAGACTGAACACTTTTATATTCACTACTTCATGACAAACTCTTATTTTTTTTTACATTGTCACATTTTTTTACAATTCTTAACTAATATTGTGAAAATAATTCAATATCAAGAACTATTCATTAATTAAGTAAATACAAAAGAATCCAAAAATAGAGCTCTCTACAGAGTGATTATTTTATTATAACTCACTCAATTACTTACAGAAACCTTTTTTTCATCGAAGATATTTATGATACTGATGTTTAACATACTTTTGTTCTAAATTGCTTTGACTCGTCACCACCTTATTTAATTTTGACATAGTGATATGTTAGATAGATGTTATATTATTATAGTATTTATATGTTAATTATTAAAAATTTAAATGATAAATTTACTGACTTTTGTTATTATTAGAAACGCTTAATTTCCTTAACTGTTATTTTATCTATGAATAATACATTTTTACAATCATGTGTCGATTTTTTAGTATTTTGAAATATGACTATATAATAATTTAGTATATTTTAGTTAAATATCCGTAACATTTAGATTCTTAGTAAAATGAAAATTTAATAATTCGGGTAACATAATGTTTTCGTAAAAATCAATAAGTTTTTGTTCCATATTATCGTTCCAAAATTTGTCATCTCGAAGAATTTTACAATAAACAATACCTAAACACGTAAAAAAATAGCATTTTATAGTAAAAATATTTTTGAATCAAATTGTAAAGTGATTTAATTATATAAAATAGTACTAAAATTGTTTCCAGTTTTCCTGATTACAGAGACTTTTAACAACTCGTTTATACAAAACGAGGTCTATACTAGACCAAAAAATTTGTCATAGGTTTGATTTTTATATGAAAATTAAATCATTAAAGAAATTACATTGTCGCGGTCGGTTGTAAAACAGTTATCGTAATAGCAAATCATAATTTAATGTATATAAAAAAATTAATTGATCGTGTTAGATTATATCATAATGAATTTATTTTTAGTACCTTTTGGTGTCCAAATAATTAAATAACAATACTGTCTCTTTGAAATGTGCAGTTCTCCTTGTATTTGATAAAAAGTAACAGAACTACGTTTTAGTATAAGTTCTTTATTCTCATTGTAATATAGATATTTTATCACTTTATCTTTAATAGCTTTTTCGGGAGTAAAATATTGGGCATTAACTGGACATTTTATTTCAACAATGCCATCATCTCCAATTATACCATCTGGTTTTGCTGTTAAATAGTTAATGTTTTTATCAATAAATGCACTGCACGGTTCAATCTTTACGTCCATTTTCTTCTCAAAATGTTGTATTGCTTTCAGCTCATTAACTATGCCATATTGCTCAACATAACTATATATATAAATCAACAATAGCATAAAACTGGAAATTATTATCTTCACAAAACTAAAATATTTAAAAATAACTATTGTATAACTTATTATTACTTACTGGATATTATTTTTGGTATTACTTGATTTTTCATTATAAACGTGCAATGTCCTTTTCAAGAATGAATCTTTGTTTTTTGTTTGATTAAATGAACAAGCACAGTAAAAACGAGAAGATGTTAGACGTTTATTACGTAGTTTTTCCCAGATATCTTTATTAACGAAATGTATTTCATTTTTCTTAAATAATTCATCGTCATAGTTATTTAATTTTAAACTTTGTAGAAAAACTTTTTTAATATTTTCGAAGTCTTCATCGATAACATCTTCCTTTTGATTAGCTGCTCCATTATTCGTTATATGAAAATTAAAATAAAGGAAAACGAAATGAAATAATAGTTAAGGTGTAAATGATGAGATCAACTAAAAGAAAGTATAAATATATTTTTAAAAATATTAGGTACACAGAACGGGATGAGTTGACGTTTTTTACGTACGTGCAATTCAGCAAAAGGTACGGGGGGGCTGACGTGTCATATTGTGTACGTTTGTATATGTCACATCAGTTATGCCACTGACACCCTGCAAAAGTTTTATAATTATGTCTGCAGCCGTCGAATGGACTGTTAATTTAGAAGATGACAACGTACGCCGCCACTTTCGACTTATTTCCACCAACACAGCAACCACCACCTTTGTAACGGTAACGCTGTTGGACCGATCCCTGCGATGTGTAGCGATTAATGACAATTCATTCGCGCTCGTTTGTTTGGTTGTATCAAGTGTATTGAAATCATTTGTTTCTTTTGGTCAATATCGCGTTTTCGCCGCAATTATAAAGTGAACGATTTATCAAGCCAGAAATACAGTATTCATGTCTATCCGACACGCCAGCGTATGTTACCAGTGTTGGTGTGTCGTGTCATATATGTTACTATAACATCCAAACGGTCCGTAATTGGATAAATATTTAAGAATTAGTTATTTAAAAAATCATAGAATCCACATAGAATAAGTGTTATATTAAAAATAATATTTTATTTTTTAATTTATATATTTTATATTTTTGATTTTCTTCTTGGTTGTTTTTTTAACGGAAATATTACCTTGTCATTATTTATTCATGTGTTGTTATTAAATTACTTAGTGCTCAATACCAAATATTATTCCTTTCCTTCTATACAGGGTTGTCCTTATTTTTCGAATTTCGGAATTTCTCTTGGGACACCCCTCCTGTATTTTAGTATAAAAAAATAATACTCTGAAAATTTAAGATCATTTGGAATAATTAAAAACTTCGTTTAGTCGTCGGTAATCTATACATAAACGAAAAGTCCCGTCCTTCTTCTTGGCCAGCACGATTGTATTTATAAGCAATTATCAGTTTTACATACGATTTATGCACCTGTGAGTCGAGTAAAGCTGTGCCTTAGCCAGTTTCGAATTCTAACTCGACTACTGGAGTAGTAATTCTACGCGGGCATTTTCGTTGGCCATTACTCGGGTGGTTGACGGTTCGAACGGGTGGGAACTAGTTCTTAACCGTGATACGGGTTTGCCCACTGACAGCGTTAACTGCCATTAGTCAACTTGTTCGGTCGACTGACACCCTCTCCCCCACTGTACCCGAAAAAATTTCGAACACCTGACTCGCGCTATTGTCGGTCGGCAGTGTGTTCGAACTCCTATATCCTGATTACATCTGAATTTACATGCAATTATCGTCACGGGGTTGGCGGTGCGTCCGCGTTTGTATAATCCACTTGCTGTTGGGCCGCTGGTTGCGCCGTATGCCGCGGAGGTAGTTCCGCTGACTGTCGGGACGCTGGTGGAGCGTACCGAGGAGCTGCGGTCTTGTCTAAGTCGTGCGCTATCTCACGTAGATTGGCGAAAGACGTTGGGTGCATTAACCGTATTATAGCGTGGTAATCGTCCCGTTAAAGCTCCGTTAACTGTCGCTCAAGTTGTTATTCAGGGTAACCCACAGCGAACTCGCGCGGCCAAACGTTGTTTATGAATAATAAATTCGGTTAACGTTTGTCGGGGGCCCTGTCACGTCGTTTTTAAGTCCGTCTTGAGCGTCATCCGGATATCGATATTTTCGAACTCCTCGAGTAATTCGGACCTAAATTCTGTTCATTCAGAAACGGGACGACTATGTTAAGCCACGCATTTGGGTCCCTTGGATCCTCTTCGTTTCTCCCATAATATTCAGGCAAGCAGGCGCGTACGGTGCGTAGGTCGTAGTAAGGTACCAATACAGACCGCGAGTTGCGAGTAGGTGATAAATCATTAAAAGACCGACGACCGTCGGTTGTGTTGAATTGCCCCTCCCGTGGTTGGCGCGTAAACGAAAAATCGGTCGGCTCGTTCTCATATGTATGAGTGTGCTGATAATGTACGTCCTGTCATTCCGTGCTACACATCCGTGGTAGCGACGCGCGTGACGCTTGTACGTACGACCGTTTCAGGTTGCGAGCTCCTTGTGCTTCGATGTCTGCGAGAAGCTCGTGAAGTGTCGCGTCAGGTCCGTCGCTCCCAATGGACCGAATGTAACGCGATGAGCGTCCGATCGTCGACTAACGTTTTGTTCGACGTAAACTTGACGAATAGTCGGTTGTGCAGCAACATGTGGGGACGGCAGCATATTTTGACTGATTCGCTCAAGCATGTTTGAAATCTGTCGCTGTTCCATTGACATACGCGACAGCGACCTTTCTAATTCAGTCATCCGTGCCTTGATCCGCGCGTTATTCGAGATGTCGCGAATGTTCTGTAGGATCGACCCGACTTGTTCTGTCGCGTGCGCTATCGAGCGGGCAACGTATACGTCTTAAACGTACGGCGCGCCTAGCTGTCCGCTTGCGCGCGTAATTTCCCCCGGTTGTTCGCCATCAGATTCGTCGTCTGATGTGCGTAGCGCGAGGTTCACTGGATGTTTCTCCGGTAAAGGCGCTTCGCCGGACCGCTAATTGTTCGAGTCGAGTTCGCTGACACGGTCTATGGAGTTGTCCGGAATTTCGAACGACGTACGGGTTGGTAGAATTTCAGTAGCTGGATTCCTCCCTTCGCTACGTAGGTTTTCCTCTAGCATAATTAGCATGTTGGGTTTCGTCGCGTAACATGGTAGCTGTCTAACCAATTCATTTGTGCTAATAACTTCCCCGACTAGGCCAGTCAACGAAGGAGTTATTTTGGCGAATGACGGAAAAAATTCCCAACCAAATTTTTTTTTTTTTAAAGTTGAATTAAGATATGTATAATATGTACAGACTAAAAATCCTCATCGATTGGACTTGAACTTTTTTTTTACAGCCTCACAAAAGTTCAAAAATATGAGCTTTTTAAATTTTCTCAAAAAATATTTGGAGGATTTCTCCACTATAAAGTTATTTGACAAATGTATAAAACAAAATTTTGTTCCATTTTCTTAATCATTTTCCCATTCTAAATTTTGATAGAATATATCTTCAACAAAAGAACAATTTTCTTTATCTTCAATCTTTATTTCTATTGAATTTGTACGCCATTGATTTTTGCAATGTTCACATATAACAGAACATTTAAGCCCTGTTTTTCGTTAGCCACAATTTTTACCAGCTTCAGCACCTGACTAAAGACCGTTTTATGACAATTATCTTTATTATTAGCAGGAATCCCGATGGCCATTGACATAATATAATTGTTGTTTGGGAATGTACAATTTATCGTTTAGTTGGGTTTAAATAATATAGCGTCAAATCAATTGCCAACTCTATCGGATGTATCTTAATATGCACTAGACTATAATGATACTATAAATAAATACACAATTAAAAAAGCTCATATTTTTGAACTTTTGCGAGGCTGTAAAAAAAAAATTTCAAGTTCAATCGATTAGAATTTTTAGTATGTCATTATACATATCTTAATTCAACTTTAAAAAAAAAAAAAATTTGGTTGGGAATTTTTTCCGCCAATTTTCCTTTGTTGACTGGCCTAGACATATTTACCGTGAATATTATGTTTATTTACAAACCCAAATTTGATTATTACAAATAATCAAATGTATGCAACGTTAATAGCGGATATAAACAATATCTCCGTATACGGTCAAATTTGCTACTGCAGTAGAAAACAAGTATTATTATTATTGCTATTGTTGTTATAAAGTACCGCGATAAGATGGTACGGGGCCACCGTATATGATATGGCACCGAGTGGACAATAATAATAACGGTGACCTGGAAATCGGACACATTGACAAGGTCAGACGAAAATATACTATTTTTATGTACCAAAAGACTGTAACTATCGGCCCAAAATTCACTTTTTGTCAATTTCAATAAGGTCTTTATAACAAACTGTAACCAACACTTTTCAACGACAATACTTACGACGGATTGTATTAGATAAACTACTCTGACTTTATTTTTACGAAAAATTTTCCAGAGACCAGGCTAAATCTAATCCCACTAATACGTAACCGTAAATAACACAGGTAAAAATTCACTGCTGTTACCAGTAAAACAAATAAGATTTGTAATCTTTTGACGTATCATTGAAAGAAATCGGTTTGGTGAGATCTGAGAAAAAGTGGTAACAGACACACAAAAAAAAAAAAAACACATCATAGTAAAATTAATAACTTCTCAGATTCGCATCGAAGCTAAAAGAAAACAGAACCAAAAAGGATCCACCAGTAAAGGCATACGTCGGAAACGAAACAGAACGCATATCAATAAAATCTATTCGGCGGCTGCCTTGTCACGGTGTCAAGGGCGGGGAGACACCCGATAATAACCGATTGTCATATTGATAGATAGACGGCTGATATTATGAGTGACACGAGCACACGGCAGCCTCGAAAGTAACGTGGTGCCGTGTCAAAGTGAATGAGCTCTTCAAGATTAACCTGGGGAAGTTATGTTTGGAGATCAGAAAGAAATTTTTAGCACTCCGTGAATGTTTAAAAATGTTGGCATGTCTTGATAAATTATTCGCCATCGCCATGTGCATAATTTTTATCCAGAGATCGTTTTATGTGTGCGTAACACAATTTTGTTTTTATTTTATGTTACGTCAAAAGAAAATACAAAAAATACTGTAATTCAAATTTTAATTTAATGATTGTAAAGTTTTCTTTTGTATAACTGTTATGATAAATAGTAATTAGTTGGTTATTATGAAGTATAAGTTTGAATATATATTTGTATTTGTAGTTATATTGTTAAGGCACTAAGATATTATATTATAGGATATGTTTTTCTAATATCTATTGTTTTATGGTACTGAATCTATAGTATATTTGATTTCTATATATAAAGTATAATTTGTTCATTGGAGATTGACATAATAATGAATTTCTGGATCCAACAACTATTAACATTAATTGAAAATAAGACAATGTTATTATCAAATTTTTAGTTATCAACTTATTATCATTTTCATTAGCACCTAATAAAAATTTGCATTAAGGTATTAGATTCTAAAACATTAATTCAAATTTAAATTTATATTCCATTATTTAAAATTCTATATAATAGTAACTAATTTCAACCTATAACGTCATAACAGAATTTTATTAATGATTTTGATACCAAAGATAGTATTATTATTGAAATATTAATAATAATATTTAAATAACAACAAGTAACAAATATCTACAATCAATTTTACTATTCACTTTTTATGAATTTTACTCATTTTAATAATTAAACGTTTTTTATTTTTCGATTTTTCTACGTTATTTTTTTTTTCTTACTGATTCTGAAATAACACTTTTTTTTGCAAAACACATATTGTGCCAGACTATGCTGGGCACAATAAGTGTTTTAAGTACTGCATTCGGAGTATGTGATCTATCCGTAATGACAATGTGAAGTGTTCTGGGTCTGAAGCAGAGCCCACCGAGATGGATCCTATTAATTCCTATAAAAATGAAATTTGTTGCAAGTGTCATTTGCAATATATATTTTTACGTTTATAAAAACTTTTTACACAAATATACGAGAAAGCATTTTAAATTAAAAATTTTAAAAATACATCATCTTGATTACCTTTGCTAATAAGTGTATGAGAAATTTTGTTCATGTTTGTTATACAAGGAATAGATGTCTTTGACATTAAGNATTTTGTTCATGTTTGTTATACAAGGAATAGATGTCTTTGACATTAAGTTTTTCACATGAAGATTGAAATTTTTTTTATTTAAAAATTTATTAATTTTTTCTTGAAAAATATATAATTCATTTGTTTTTTTACAATTTTCGCAAAATCCATTCATGGAAGAGAGTAATACTGAGTTATCTAGGTATTCTAAACTGAATTTAATTGTATCCTTCATTTGTCTTTTGAGTCTAGCTAAGTCAATAAGTCGTTTTGCAAAATTATATTGCCAAGGATTAACAACAAACTTGCCATAAATAAAAAATGAAATCATCCTTACTGCGTAAAAAGATGCATGTAGAAAACTTATTTTAAAAGTATGATTAGGATTTAAATTTTTTATCCTTATATCGTTTTTTAACACTTCTAAAATTTGAAGACATAAAAATGTGTGAAAACACTCTAAAGACTCTAATTCTTTTTTTAATTTGTTTAAGCTTGATTCTTTTTTTTGACTACATTCGTAATTGTCTTCACAAGATCTTGATAACAACTTAATGTCATCTTTATTTATAAAAGAATGTTTAATAAATCTTTGATTTTTTTCACAGACAAATGATTTGATATCATTATTAATAGTAATTATAACTTGTAAAAATGAATCGTCAAATATTGTGTCGTAATCCGGTGGCTGAAATCAATTTGTAAGTTATCGTCAAAAATAAAAGTAATGATAATAAAACAAGCAGAGTAAAGTTTTAATTGAATTTCAAAGAAGGCACATCTGAGAGATTTTTTTGAGTCTATAGTTTAATTTGAATTTCAAAATGGCAGATCTGAGAGATTTGAGAGTCAAAATTTATCGTATATTTTTTCGGTAAATAATTTGTTCACATATTAGTTAAGAATTAGTTAATGTAAAAAAAAAAATAGCATTTTTATCTAATTTTTGTCATGACGTAGTCAACATAAAAGTGTTAAATCTCTTAACGGGATTGATACGAGGAAATTAAATTCCTTCTTTTTTAAACTCCATGTCTATTTTTTTATTATTATGTTATTAAAAACAATCGAATTAACTTCTGTATAGAACATTAAAGACTTTTGAAATCGATTTTATCAAGCCATATTATTTGATCATTTAAAAAAGACAATAATTATCATTTAGATATTTGATGTAAAGACATTAATAATTGTTTTTCAATTTTATTATTATTTTGCTCATTTAAAGTTTTTATGATTTTATAAATTAAATATTTTGTAACGATACTCCTGTTCGAGACGAGGTTCCTCGTCTGATCAGCGCTTATTCGTCGGTAAGGGTTCCAAATTCTAGGTCTTACTTTATTATGACCATAATTTTGCAAATATTGGCGTATATAAATAAATTAATTTGACGAAATAAAAATTGATTTTAAATTTTCAGCATTTAGACCACTCCACTATGCCTTAAATAATATTTTATTTTACTCAAATTAATTTTTAATTCCATGGTTTTTATTTATATATAAAACTTTGAAAGTAATTTTTATTTAATTGTTTTAAATTTGATATTTATATTCTAATGTTTATTAACAATCCTTCATAAGTTATTAAAAATAATTATTCTATTCCCACTTCAATTCAAATTAAATATTTTGGTTTTACCCTTGACAGTAAACATTACTGATTTCACCATATCCATTTTAAAATAATAACTGTAAACCAGTGTTAAAAAATCAATCTGAATAATTCGATTAATTCAATTTTTTTTCAATAAACACTTTATGTTTATTTCTTTTTTCGATGAACTTGGTTTTTAAATCGGACCATTTTCCTTTATGAAGGGGGCGTTAAAAACATTAAATATACGAGTAAAAAATAGAATTTATTCAACTTAAATTTTGAAAATGTTTCAGAAATACTCCGAGCTTTAATATATGCCAATTAAATCTTATGTTAAATACTATATGTTTCAAAAAAAAATTTGTCTCGACACATATTCTTTAATGAAGCAATAAACGCTGAATTGAATCAAAAATGTAATATTTATTTAAAAATCAAAGTTTATTGTGTTAATATTTTGATTTTTAAAATTGCCAAAACTTTTTAAAAATGAACAAAGCAATGTAATTTTTTTATATTGAAACCTTAGTTTTTTCATTTGTTTTACATACAGATCAATAAATTAAAAATCTGACTTTTACTTATCCACAGGGTGTATTTAAAATAGAATCTTTTGCACACAAGTTAAAATTTTTCAACTTATTGTCAGCTTTTAACATATGTAAGACTTATGTTACGTACTTAAAATTAAAAAAAAAAAAAATTTGTCCAGAAGAACATTTTCTATGTGCGGTTGTTTACAGCATGCTATTTTTGTATTCAAATTTATTTATTTTTTGTTCATATTAAAAATACATACAAGAGTTTGTCATAATAAGTATTGAAGCCAAGGATTTTTATACATATATAAATTTAAACTTATTTTGAATATTTTGACTCCACTAAGTTAAGAAAAACGTCTTTCAGTTTTTGAACTAGCTTAATTTTCATACTATTTTTAATTGCTATAATGAATATTTATTCACATATTGCACTTATAAATCATAATAGTTGTAATCGTGATTTAAATAAATACATAGTATTTAATTTGGTTATTGGAAATAATCCAAGAATTCATTTTAAAAATTAATCACTATCTACAGATTTGCATCGAAGGGTTTCTTGTGATAGTAATTTTAATCACTATCTTATATCTTCTATACTTATCCACACTGTGCCATGACTCCACTTAGCTAATGTTTCTATTCTTATAATGGAAACAAACGTTAACTAATATTCTTTCAATACATCAGCGCCGGAACTTATTGCGCCACCAGGTATAAATATTTTTGAATCTTGTTTTGGCCAGGCTAAAGGAAGCTTTAAAAAGTATTGATATCGATCTCTCAATAAAATATTCTCTCTTAAAAAGATACTTTTTCAATAAAAATGTACTAAAGGTACATTATTAAAATTATATTTATAATAAAAATACAGAGTGTATAGAATCTTATACATATAAAATAGATTTGTTACACAATCTCCTATTGTTGTGAACTGGCTTTTTGCTGCCTAATTGTAATTGTGTAATTTAATAGTATATATATTAATCTTACTCCTATTTTACTTAACTATTCCTACTATTATACTCCTATAAAATCTCCTATTTTTAAAATAAAATCGTTTTTCTTAGCAGTCATATTGACTATATAACTTGTAGTACTTTTCACACTACACGTTGTATAAGCCTGTGAAACAGAATAAAATTAAACATCAACGTTTTATTGTTTCAAATACCATTATGTTACTTAGGTTATAAAGTAATAACCAGTAACAAACCATTAAGATAAATTAAAACCCATTTTTATTTATATTATTACGCATTTTATACTCTTACATATTCTGCTATATATCACCACATATTATATTATTCTACTATTATACTACCATATTTTCTTTTATACCATTTTTTTAACTCTTCTGTTTTATCTTTTATGGTTTATTTCGATAATTTGATATTATCTCAAAAATTTAAGTTAATNTCGATAAATTGATATTATCTCAAAAATTTAAGTTAATAGAAAAAAACTAATTGCTAATTTTAAATTAAATTAAAAATTTAGTAAGTGGTTTAAATGCTGAATATTCAAAAAAATATTCTGTTTCATCAAATTATTATTTGTATTCACGCCAATATTTGGAAAGCCATGGGCTTATAAGACAATAGATTAATATAATAACGAATGATTTAATATTTAGAACACGTACTGGAGAATAAGCGCAATACTTGGGTTAATTATGGAATTTGGATCATTATTATTTTAGCAGGACCCTCACATACACACATCATAATATCTTTGTATTACTGTCCATTTTCATATTTTCATATTATCAGAATATATTTTTATTTATGTTTGTATATTCTGTAGTTCGGATGAACTCAAAACATTTTAGAATCTTCTAATTTGCAAAGAAAATTTAAATGTTAAAATATTTAAAATTATTTTTGTACATACTTGTATTTCTGGGCTAGCATTTGAGTTGAAAAATATTTGTGCTGATATAAGAATAACGTAAAGACACGTTATCAAATTAAATGCATTACAACGATTTTTAATCATTCTTTTAGTTTTTTAAAAATACTTAATAGTATATATTGAAGTTTTATAAAACAACTTTCTGAACAAATTCCTGCATATATAACTTCAATTAATCTCTTACAAAAAAACTTATTTATAAATTGTAATTTTAAATTTTACTAATAACATAATACTTTGATTTATTCCAACCTTATTTAATTAAATAAATTGAAATCGTTTATAGTGCTATTTTTAACAAATTAAGTATGTGTTTTTAGATTATTAAAAAATACATCGCCCAAATAAAATGTGTTTTATGTTCATAATGAAAAATAAAACTATAAGGAAATAAATTTAAAAGTTTACATTTACCAAAAAAAAAAAAACAAAAAAATTATGTTGGTGTGTCATAAGTATAAATGAAAGCAATCAAAATATAACTATCCAGGTAACAGCAACAATTAAATAACGAATTTCTGATTAAGGTCCACAGTTAAATTTTTTCGAATTACCAAAATTTAACGAACATACCAGTTATGTTAATTAAATCGTAAATACTGAATATTTCAGTAAAAACTGTGTTGACACATCCATAGTTTTATTCTGTGAAAAAGATTAACATGATATAGGTTCAGAAATATTTTTAAAATTAATGTGTGAGAGACAATTACATTTTGTATCACAATGTCCTAATATACAACAAAAGACGCAATTTGACTAGATAGTATCAGGTCCGACGTCTTGCTCGCCTAGTTCTGACAGCAGTATATTTATTAAAAATATTATGCAAATACTTTATTTAGAAAATAAAATTTCTCAATTTTGCGGCTAGACGAAGTCATAGATAGTAAAGTATATTCAGTCAACAAGAAGCTGTGTAAAAAACATTTCTATCAAAATTTTAAGCGTGATAAAGAAGGGCGAGTTATGTTGACATTCAAGGACGCAACATTCAAAAACTATTAATACTAATATTAATATTATAGAATTTTTAAAACAAATTGATTGAAAATTGTTAAATACGTATGTATTTCACTGGGTTTTTGGTGATGTTTTGAGTAAAAATTATTATTACCTGATAATAATAATTTATTATATTATTGAATACCTGTGTAGCCTATTGAAGTCAATAGAATTAAATCAAATGATGTTAACGTTTTTTTTTTATTGTCAAACTCATTGTTTGGATACTAAAAGAAATCAACGGTTATAGTTAGGTATAGAAATACTCTAATATTTATAACATATAATAAAATATAATATATATATATACAGGATGTTCAGTAAGTCAGGAAACGGGTTTCTATTGTTCTCATTGTTACAAACAATGAGAACAACAGAAACCCGTTTCCTGACTTACTGAACAC